GTCTGTCGCGCCACACGAAGCTTCAGGTCTTCTCAGCCATGGTCATTCCCTCCCTTCTCTAAGCTTGCGAAACGTGGACCCCCCTAGTGGAGCATCTTCGCCGGTTGGAAACATTTAGGCTGGCCTGCCTACGATCCATCCTGGGTTTAACCAGGCTGGATTGTGTGAGGAGCTCACAAGTCCTTGCAAGATCTGGGCAAAGTCCCATCAGTGAGCTCCTCCGGCAGGCAAGGCTTCGTTGGCTGGGTCATGTAGCCCGCATGCCCAGCCACCGCATGCCTATACAGCTTTTGTTCGGCCGGATCGAGGGGGCTAAATGGGCGCGGCACAGGCTAGAGAAGAGATGGAGTGATGTGGTACAGGAGGACGTGGAGCTGAGTGGACTTGCCGATGACTGGTACCAGCGGTGTCAAGATCGGCCTCAGTGGAGGAGGCTCGTGAAGGACGCTACTGGGCAGTTGGAGGCAGTCGCCCTCCAACAACAACGGATGGCGGAGGAGCGACGCTCACAACAATGAGCGGAGCGCCGGGTGGCTAAAGCACAGCAAGTTGGTACAGTAGGGGGCACAGGTGGCGCATCAGCCAGTCATCTCGGTCATTCGACCCGTGGCACCTGGGTCTGCCTCGTGACCTCCTGCCAGCGGGCGTTCGACACTTCACGTGGCCTCAAGGTGCACATGGCCTGGCACAAGCGTCGTGGTGACGTCACCGCCACTTAGTGGCGAATGGCGGTTGTTGTTGTTGTTGTCTGTGTGTCTGTGTCTCTCTCAGTGTGTGTCTCTCTGTGTCTCTCTCTCTGTGTCTATGTTGTGTCTCTCTCTGTGTATTGCAGTCGCAACTGTAGACTTGGTTCAACTTCAGCAGTAAATGTTCTCCCATCCGAGTCATCGAGTGAGTGGATGGGTGAGTGGATGGGTGAGTGAGTGGGTGAGTGGGTGAGTGAGTGGGTGAGTGAATGGGTGAGTGGATGGGTGAGTGGGTGGGTGAGTGGGTGGGTGAGTGAGTGGGTGGGTGAGTGGGTGAGTGGATGGGTGAGTGGGTGAGTGAGTGGGTGAGTGGGTAGAGTGGGTGGGTGAGTGGATGGGTGAGTGAGTGAGTGAGTGGGTGAGTGGGTGGGTGAGTGGATGGGTGAGTGAGTGGGTGAGTGGGTGAGTGGATGGGTGAGTGGATGGGTGAGTGGATGGGCGAATGGGTGAGTGGGTGGGTGAGTGGGTGGGTGAGTGGGTGAGTGGGTGGGTGAGTGGGTGGGTGGATGAGTGAGTGGGTGAGTGGATGGGTGAGTGGATGGGTGAGTGAGTGGGTGGGTCAGTGAGTGGGTGGGTCAGTGAGTGGGTGAGTGGGTGAGTGAGTGGGTGAGTGGATGGGTGAGTGAGTGGGTGAGTGGATGGGTGAGTGAGTGGGTGAGTGAGTGGGTGGGTGAGTGGGTGAGTGAGTGGGTGGGTGAGTGGATGGGTGAGTGGGTGGGTGAGTGGATGGGTGAGTGGATGAGTGAGTGGGTGGGTGAGTAGGTTGGTGAGTAGGTTGGTGAGTGGGTTGGTGAGTGGGTGAGCGAGTGTGGATGTGTGAGTGAGTGAATGAGTGGGTGGGTGAGTAGGTGGGCGCAGCAGCAGCAGCCCTAGCGGGGGGCTCGGTGAGCGGTGGGACGGCAGTTGGTGGGTGAGTGGGTTGGTGAGTGGGTTGTTGAGTGGGTTGTTGAGTGGGTTGGTGAGTGGGTTGTTGAGTGGGTTGGTGAATAGGTGGGTGAGTGAGTTGGTGGGTGTGTGGGTGAGTGAGTGAATGAGTGGGTGAGTGGGTGGATGAGTGGGTGGGTGAGTGGGTGAATGGGTGAGTTCGTGAGTGGGTTGGTAAGTGGGTGAGTGGATTGGTGAATAGGTGTGTGAGTGAATGAGTGGGTGGGTGAGTGGGTGGGTGAATCGATGGGTTGGTGAGTGGGTTGGTGGGCGAGTGGGTGGGTGAGTGAATGAGTGGGTGGTTGAGTGGCTGGGTGGGTGAGTGGGTGGGTGAGTTGGTGGGTGAGTGGGTTGGTGAGTGGGTGAGTGGGTGGGTGAGTGGGTGGGTGAGTGAATGGGTGAGTGGATGGGTGAGTGGGTGGGTGAGTGGGCGGGTGAGTGGGTGGGTGAGTGGATGGGTGAGTGGATGGGTGAGTGAGTGGGTGGGTGAGTGGGTGAGTGGATGGGTGAGTGGATGGGTGAGTGGGTGAGTGGGTGGGTGAGTGGGTGGGTGAGTGGGTGGGTGAGTGGATGGGTGAGTGGATGGGTGAGTGAGTGGGTGGGTCAGTGAGTGGGTGGGTGAGTGAGTGGATGAGTGGATGGGTGAGTGAGTGGGTGAGTGGATGGGTGAGTGGGTGAGTGGATGGGTGAGTGAGTGGGTGAGTGGGTGGGTGAGTGGATGGGTGAGTGGGTGAGTGAGTGGGTGGATGGGTGGGTGAGTAGGTTGGTTAGGGGGTGGTCACGTGACCAATGAGATCTACACAGGACCACAGGTGGGGGCTAGCGGGTGGTCACGTGACCGGTGAGATCTTAGGGGAAGTATCTAAATTCTAGAGGCTCCAGGAGGTCTCTGGGTGGTGGTGGCCAAGGGCGTGGGGCCAGACACACGAGCCGGCAGGCAGCAGACCAGCCGCGCTCCCCGCCAGGGTGCGGGGCTCCACGCTGCTGTTGCTGCTGCTGTTGCTGCTGTTGCTGTTGCTGCTGCCATCACCAACTCGCGGTCTGAGACCTTCGTCCCAGAGAAGACGCCCCCAGCCAGGGCCGTGTCCTGCAGCTGCCCCCGGTGACCGGCGCAGTCAGAGCCTGGCGGGCCGCCAGCAGCAGCAGCTGCAGCTGCAGCAGCTGCAGAGGTCACCTGGCGAAGGGGCAGCAGCCCCGCTGTGCTCACGTGGTGACGGTGTCATCGTGAACGCGTGTTGCCTCCGACACGCGCGTCCGCTACTCGGTTGAACCCGCGGCAGGTCCATCAGTCGGTTCACGATGGCCGTGTCAGAGGCAGCGACAGCCTGGGCTCAAGCCCTGGGTCTGGGTGTCGTCGTGGGCTCCATGCCGACCCCCCGATGCCGCTCCTGCTGCTGCTGCTCCTGCTGCTGCTGCATGTTTAGAGTTTGTGTCTCTGTCCCCGTGGTCGCGTGGATTTTTTTCTGGGTCCTCCGGATTTCCCCCAAACACATTTGAGTGAGTTTATTTAGTGAGCGGGCGAGTGAGAGTATTTGGCAGCTGCTATAAATGTCCACGTGGTGGTGAGGATGATGATGAAGCTAATTGGTAGAGCTCTCATTTGTCATGGCCAGGTCTGGGCCTTCTGAAAGAGCTACACAGCATCTCAATGGGGGGGGGGGGGGGGCTTACCCGGTGACAAGGACACGTGGTTGAGTTTCTAGTTCAAGTCTCGTGCACAACAACATCATCAACAACATCATCATCACGCGGCCACCTGTTAAGAGGAGTTCCAGCCCAGGTAAGTGTTGAGCCTGGCACCTTTATAACCACCACCAGCACCACCACCACCAGCACCACCACCAGCACCAGCACCACCACCAGCACCAGCACCACCACCAGCACCACCAGCACCACCACCAGCAGCACCACCACCACCAGCACCACCAGCACCGCCGCCACTGCCACCACCGCCGCCACCACCACCGCCACCACCACCGCCACCACCACCAGCACCACCACCAGCACCACCACCACCATCACCGCCGCCAGCACCACCACCACCATCACCGCCGCCACCACCAACACCACCACCACGGCTGTGAAACACCACCACGCATTCAGACGCTGTCTCCCCGACAGACCTGGTCTTCACCTGAGGACGGCTGCTTGCGTTGTGGCCGAAACGTCGTGAGAATAATTTTATTATGTTTTATTTGTATTATTTTATTATTTCCCTTCTACGTGCCTTTACAGAAAGAACCAAGAAGATGAATCCCTGCAGTCACGAAAGCTTTAAATCGAAACATAAAAATGTATAATTTTTATTATTTTATTATTTCCCTTCTACGTGACTTTACCGAAAGAAGAACCAAGAAGATCACTGCAAGTGAGCTTCTTCTCTTTCGGTGAACTAAAGTTTACGAACTGAAGAAGCTCCCAGCATGTTCAGCGAAACGTCGTACATCGTGCCAAGCAACAGGCGATTACAAGCCGAATACGCATCGGAGCTAAGCGCTTGAACCTGCAATTGTAAGTGCCCAAAGGAGACCGCTGACTGAGTGACGAGATGCAAAGCCTGCCAGTTTCCCAAGTCTTAAGAATGTTCGCAGGAATGCACTTTATTGATAGAAGCAGCAGTTTCAGCGATGGACACAGCGATGCAATCTGACCCGGGTGCTGGTAGCACAATGACAAGCGTTTCTAAAATAATAAAAATGAAACGGTAAAGGTGCAAAGCCCTGGCAATTCTCTGCTCAGATCACTGCCGGCACTTGCGGGAAACCCCAAGGGAGCCCCTTTAGAAGGTACTTGTTCAAGCCAGACGTCTTGGCAGAGTACCCACACTTTACCCCACCACACGTGATGATCCCTGCCCATCAACACATTTCGGTGAACCCATTGATACTGCTGGGTGGGTAGAAGCGGTGGGGGGGGGGGGTAAGAGAAAGTGCCCCTCTCTTTCAAATTGCCGCACCGGGAGATCAAAGCGAACCGGCGACCTCCAGGGATCGCGACTCCAGTGCGCGGCTTGCCGTGCTCACCGCTGCGGCAAGTGTCGTCTTCAAAAGCCAAAAATCCCATTCTTTTGTTGGGATCAGTTTCTAAAATCAATTATTTTTAAAAAAAACACACTTGACCAAACCGACGGCAGCTTCTCGGATGCACGCGGAGGCGGCGGGCAAGACGCAAAACAATGGCGAGAGGACCTCTCGCGAATCCAGAAGAGGCATTCCCCAACCCCTCCCATCCCACCGCTCCCCCCAAGCATGTACCCACGGGGGGGGGGGGGGGGCACGTTTCCACGAGAATATCGCGCCACGGCGTTCGCCTCCGGAGGGGTGGGGGACGGAAAAAAAACCCCGCAAACAAGAGCCTCTATCAGCCAGAGGCAGACCACCCCCCCACCCCCCTCTTAGGGGCGTTTCCCCACTTGTCTATTTGAAGGGCATCTGGATGGAGGAGCAGCTTTTGTAATGGTTGGGGAACTTAACGCGGGTTAATTATACAAGTACGTCAACGATACGGTCGGTGCCTCTCGCTACGGCACCCAAGCGACCTCGCGACTACAGACGGCGCTGCAATTGTCGACTCTTGTCAGACCTGCCCTCGGTGCTGCGTGCGGTCAGCTCGTTGCTTCATCCTCCACATGGCCGCTCCTCTCATCCGGCTGGCGAATGGTTTGCCTCTGGGTTGGATCATCGAAGTTGAGGCTCTCATGTCTTCGGGGGTGGGAAGGAAAGAAACAGAAAACATTGAGGTTAAATCAACAAATCACGCGCACCTGTGTACGTATGCGTTTGCGTGCGTGCGTGAGGAGCGGTAGTGTAGCGGTTAGCGCGCTGCGCTACAAACCTGGCGACACGGGTTCGATTCCCGCTCACGGCGAACACCAGTGACGATTATACGAACCGGTCCTGGGCCTACCATAGGTCGACTCAGCCTCAAATGAGTACCTGCTGCGGAGTGCAAACATCGCCACTGGGGAGACAAAGGCGGCTGGGCGTGGTGCTGGCCACCCACCACCTCGTGTGCCGTGCCGGCCTTCATAGGTGCTCGCGAATGACACTTGCTCAAAGAGTCTGTTAGAGCTACACGGGGGATCGTTGTCGTAGTGTAGTGTGCATCTGCAAGTCATCTCGACCAGTCAACCCACGGCACCTGGGTCTGTCCCGCGACCTCCTGCTTGCGAGCCTTCCAACACTTCACGTGGCCTCAAGGTGCACCGCGCACTGGCACAAGCGACGTGGGGATGTCACCGCCACTTAGTGGGAATGTAGTCAGACGGGTCACTGGTTCGGTGCGTGCAGCGGACACAACCACGGTGCCAGCATCTTGCATCCGCCCCCCGCGCGCGACGCTGTCCACTCGGCAGCATCAGCAGCAGACAAGCCACAGTCGCGTTTGGCAGGTCGCGGGCGGTGGGGTCAAGTGTGGGTGCTCCCTCCTGTCCCAAGACATCTGGCGAGCGTGCAAGAGGAGGCCACAACACCCCCCTCCAGAGTGACTGTCTCGGGCTCCTTGCAGTGGCGGCCCTTCCACCAGCAGTGGTGTCAGCGAGCAGTTGCAGGGCTGCGCCTTTATTTAATTATCGTGCGCGCAGTGACTCGGCACGCCGATGAGAGCACCGCAAGCCAGGCGACGCGCGTGTCGATTAGTTTAGTTTGCGTTTCTGACAACGGGCCCCAGAAGATGAGATGACAGAACTATTTGTGAAATCGCTCCATTGAGCGCCTTCATGCACACTGGGATCGCACAGGTCGTTCATTTTCTGTGCAAAGTTCCGCGTGTCAAACTGAGAACATCCCTGATCAGGGCTGGAATAAGCCCTAAGTAGAAACAAACTAACAAACGAATTTAATGTAACGGTGTTTTATGCAGTCAATATGGACTGAGCCGAGAGCATGCATTTGTATGCAAGTGCTTAAAGAAAAAGTGTTAACCTCGTTTCGTGTTTAACCGTGTGACATTTCAAGAGGGCAGAATAATAATAAAATAATAAAAATACAACGTAACAAAATGAAATTCTCACGACGTTTCGACCACAACACAAGCAGCCGTCCGCAGGTGAAGAACAGACGCTGTCTCCCCGACAGCCCTGTTCTTCACCTGAAGACGGCTGCTTGCGTTGTGGCCGAAACGTCGTGAAAATTGTATTTTATTATGTTTAATTTTTATTATTTTACTATTTCCCTTCTACGTGACTTTACCGAAAGAACCAAGGATATGAATCCCTGCAGTCACGAAAGCATCAAATCGAAATTTAAGCCAGAATAAGTTCCATTTGCAAGCGTGACCTGGGACATTCATTTGTTGTGTGTGTTGAGTCCCAACCGAGTCGTTTGCCGTTGCAATTGTCGACTTTGGCAAACTTGGACCCTGACGCCAGCACACACAATGGCCTACTCTTGCGAATGACGTCAAGAGATATTGTCACGGTTATTACACTCGCAGTGATAAATCAGGAACATTCAGTCAGTGCATCTGCTCTGCTAATGAACCAACGGGTCAGCGACACGGACAAGGACAATCAATGGGTTCATTCAGGAGCGGGTGAAACCGTGAAACGGATCTAGGATGTCGGCGGCGTTGACTCGGCACTCCGATTCCCAAGGACACCTCGCCATGTGGCACGAAGCCTTCTTGGCCCAAGCATCCAGTAATTTAGCTCGACCTCGAGTTGATCATATAAAATATCTTCTTGGTTCTTTTGGTAAAGTCATCACGTAGAATGAAATAATAAAATAATAAAAATAAAACATTATTCTCACGACGTTTCGGCCACAACGCAAACAGCCGTCCTCAGGTTTTCTGACTTTACCGAAAGAACCAAGAAGATGAATCCTTGCAGTCACGAAAGCTTTACATCGAAATATAAAATATATTCGTTTCAACTTGTCATGCACCGCACAGAGTTGCACTCACTCTCGAAGACGACGCAGGAAGGCAGCCAAGCGCTGAGCCGGTGCCTACTAACAATCGCCCAAGCTCTGTGGGTCCTCTATATATCAAGGTGCATTCGGTCAATCCACTTCTGAAAAGGAAGCCAATAGGTCAGTGGGTTTTACCTGCTAAAATAAAAGTCTAGTTTTCGGTAAAGTCACGGAGACAGCTTGTGTTGCCTCCGAAACGTCGTGATTTCATTTATCCGTTCCATTTTTTCTACCTACGTGATTTTACCGAAAAAAACAAAGAGTATGGATCCTTGCAGTCACGAAAACTTCCAATCTAGAATCGTCTAGTTTTATCCGTATACATATAAATGTTTTGTGATTTTCTCACCTTTCCTACACATCGGACTTGTATCGTGTATTGCGTTTGTTGTTGTAACACTCTGACCCTGTCACCCCTGCTGAACATCTGTGAAAAAGAGCTTTATAGCTCAATGGATTCCTCCTGCAGTACAAACAAGCATTCCGATTCTGATACAGGAGGCTCTCAATTATCCGCGCTAATGACGAGGAGGACGGACGGGGATTTAAAAAAAAATCGCGGAAAATCCAAAAATACAACCATTTTCCGTGGATTATCGATGCCAAACACCACGAATATAGGTATAAATCACCGATGGATGCACGTGCTCAGTGACAACACTTTCCTGCTCCGCCGCCACAGAAGAGTCCGCCCACTAAGTGGATAGCAGAGCCCACCCCAGCAACATCTATCAAACTCCTCCCCCCACCCTTGTAAAGATCTGGCAACTACTGTACTGCAGGGGTGGTCACGTGGATTTCGGATCAACCGGAGCACTTATTTGTTCGGCTTAAGCACGTGACTTGTCACGAACGTTTTCAAAAATAACAATGCACAACTGTGTCGAGGTCGTTAATTTGGCCTCAAAGGGAAAATCCGCAATTTATTCATTTACGTCAAAATCCCAGGCGCGCGGTCAATCCTCAAAATCGGATAAACCGCACGCGGATAATGGAGAGTCTCCTGTATTTCGGTCGCCAGCTCCCTGTGCGCACCCGGCGCCACGAGATACCCCCCCCCCGTGTGTCCCTCCCCGCCCCACCTACTGCCTTGTCGCTCACCCTTGGAGCAGACACGCTTGCACGTTTCCTCGTTCGCGAAGTTGTTGTCGTTGCCATCACAGCCGCTGTAGTGAAAGATCTCGCACGCTTGCTTCTCCACGTTGTAGAAGTAGCGCGGCTTATTGTCCTCGCAGTCGCCCCGCGCGGCCGGCCACAGGCAGATCTTGGGGATCCCTGTCCGACGAGATTGCCAAGAGAATCGGATCGCGGTTCGGTCAACGGTGGGTGTGCCACGGCTGGACCAGTGTTCTTCATTGCAAGGCCCACGGGCCGCTGGTAAACCCTGGTGGCCTTTAGTGCAGCCCCTGATGTGTGGGCCCCCCCGCCCCCCCGACAACATACAAATGTGAAAAACACCCCCTTGCAGGAGGCGTGGCAGCACTCAAGTAACTTGGGACTTTTTGACCTGAAACAGGTGAAAAATAGGAGGCACAGCCCTGCAAGGTCTGGCGCCCCTGCGCGCCCCAGTTGGCGGAAGGGCCTCCCACTCTTCTTAAGAGGGGAATCTTTGGCCAGCTCTTCCCACCCCGTCGAAAAACTCCTCGAAGGAGTTGGGAGTGGCCGCACTTTCACCCGAAAACAAAATAAGGAGTTTAAAATGGAACGCAATGGGGGAAAAAACCCTACGTGGTGGGGCGGGGGGGGGGGCGGGAAAGACTTTGCAAATCTAGGACAGCTGTCTGTGGCAGAGGGCGCATTAACCCCAGAGGGCGCATTAACCCAAGACCATCTTGTCACATTGCATCTCTTTGCTCTGCGTAAAAACAGCCGTCACACAGTAAGCGTTCACGTCTCTCTTCACAATCTTTCTCTTGGCAGGAATATAATTTTTTTGCAGGAGCCGTGCGGGAGAGGAATTTGTGTGGCGGCTTTCACCGAAGCAATCGATGAAGCAAAACACCAACGCGCGCCTTTAAGGAGGTTCAGTTTACATGCGAGGCAACAATACTGATGAACTTTTAATTCAGGAATCGATTGTTACGTTTCTGTCTGCCTGGTCCGCAACGTCTCGCGCGTACTCTCTTCGTCGTAGGTTTCGTTTCGTTTTGCTCCATCCCATTCACTTCCATGAGCCTCCAGACAACGTTAGCAAATCATCAGCATATGCCTCATTTGTAGCGTGAGTATATTACGTAAAGAAAGGTAAAGGTGCAGCTCCGCAATTGCTTGCTCATGCCACTGCTGGCAGAAGGCCCTCCTAGGGAGCTCTAGAGAGTCCTCCTAGACCAGGGGTCGGCAATCAAAATTCAGTTAAAAAACCCTGCGTGGCAATAAACATCTCGCCACCACGGCACCATTCCTTGCACCGAGGATTTGATTCCGTGCACCAGGAACTTCCCAATGCCACATACGGGGCTTGATTTCTCACAAAATATTTTCATATTTTCATATTTTGTGAGGACCCACAAAACTCCCCCCCCTCCCTTGTACCACCCCCACCACTCTGAGGAACAGGTGGGGCCTTGGGGAGCAGGGAAGTATTTTCTGTAACTCAGCCCAGGACGGCTCTGGCCGAAATAAAGCCGCCCTGGGCACGTGTTCACGTTAAAACACGTGCCCAGACAAACTCGATCCGCATGCAGTTCGTACCGAACGGTAATAAATGACCAGCAGGGTTTCGGATATTTTGCTTCCCATTCGAACAGTAATAGTGCCAACCTGACCAACCGAGTGGCTTATGAGAAGAAAAAAGGGTGGGGGGGGGGGGCAGAGGGCGAGGCGGAGGTGAAAAAACATCAGAATCAGAATATGTATTTACACTGGAGAAATACAAAGAGCTATGAAGCTCTTTTTCACAGACGCCCAGTCAAAGGGCCGCTGCAGCGTTGTCCGAACGAGATAGAACACTTCGCTATGAGCAATTCATCGGTGTCTATCGATCCCACCGCTCCGCTTCAGTGCAAGAGGAGAGAGAGAACACCAAGTAGAATCATCGATTCCACACGGCCTCGTCGTCAACATCCAGAGGTCATCGTGGCCAAAGCCGTCGATGCCACCACCACAGCCGCCACCACGGCACCTCATCACCGGCAACTTCCACCCTGCGCCTGATCCCACCGCTGATGCACAGTCGACACGTGACCTCCAATATCTGCCCTGACAGTCGAAACTAAAAACTTTCGACTACTTTGTATTTTACCAGGTAAGGCCCACCGAGCTATGAAGCGATGTTGAAGAAGCGACCGCCACAAATGATAGCTCGGCGAATTGGCTTATCGCACGGAAATGTACAGCAACCAAATACTCGAAATGCGTGATGTCGATTCTCAATGTGGAGGGAAAAATCGGAGGAGCCTGAAAAATATCCACACGACCACAGGGAGAGAGACAAGCAAACGCCACATGTATACAGACAGGTGTCAGTGTCGGAATCAAACCCACGATCGCCTGCATACCAGACAAGGGAGTTAACATCTCCTAGCCACCGAGGAGCCCCCCCCCCTCCCCGCGCCATGTGCTCTTTGGCCTTCCCCTCGATCGCCGCCCTCACGTGGTGGAGACCACCCAGCACCGCGTGGCCCTCTCCCACCCTCCACGCACGTCCCAAAGAGCACTGCTGCTTCTGCCTCACGGCCTTGCAAAGGCACCAATGTGCACGCGCAAGCTCGTAGCACACGTCACCGCCCCGCCCCCCGCCGCGTGACGGTGACAGACCTCGCACGCCCGCCGCGGTGTGCACAAGTGCGATGATTCCAACTTGGGGTCAACTCCTGCGATTTGTAGTCTCCATTTGCGTTCCCCTCAGTGCCGCGCACCTGACTAATCACGTGCGGTGCAGTTTCCCGTTGATCGAAATTGATTGCCGTGATCCTACCCCCCCCCCCCCGACCTTATCGAGTCTCCACCGTGCACCAGCGCATGCTCAGCGGCCAGGGGCGCAGTCCCACATTGGGAGTTGGGGGGGGTGGGTGTCCTACTCGTGAACGCTTCCCCGTGGTTATCGGTTAGATTCCAGATAGGTTCCGGTGAAGTCGGCCCCACCCTCGCTTCGTCACGGACAAGAGGAGTTCCGCCGCAACTCCAACCGTATTAAACCTACGGCAACTCCTGGCCACTGACTCGGTACTAACCCCCGCTGGTCGTGGGCTCCCCCGTGTACGATAGGGATCCATCGGCAGCACAATCGACATCTATGTCGCCTTGCTGCAACGGAGGAGTTAAAAAAAAACGGACTCGAAAAAAAGAGTACCGCGATTTTCTTTTCTAAAATGCCGCAGGGCGTCTCTTGGGCCGTACGTATCTTAAAACGCGTCGAAGCTACGCGAGGCCTTGCCACCCGCACGGCGTGCCCCAGAGGGGGCCGCACGCGTCACGTGTAGGCCCAGCGTCGCACGGACCTCTGGTGTTGGGGCGCCTGCAGCTCTCCACGCACTCCTCGGCGGTGCGGAAGTTGTTGTCGTTGCCTCCGCAGCCGCCGTAGACGAAGCTCTCGCACCGGCCCGTGGTCATGTTGTAGAAGTGGCGCGCGATGGCGGCCCGGCAGCGGCCAGTCTCCGGCTCCAAGCGGCACTTCTTGGCCACCTCTGCGACGTGTGGGGGGGGATGGGGGGAGGCACGGCGGGGAGTTTAAACACCGACGTGCAAGGGCGATGACGATGGCGGTGCGTGCAGATGAATGTCGCTGCGGGACTAAATTCTCTGGCGTGTGTCGTGATGGCTACTGCAAGATCGGACGTTCAGTGCTCGCCCGAGCTGCTTTGGTTTCTGGTGGCCGAACGGATACATGAGGAGGTCGCACTCGTTACGCACAAAGTGCTCGCCACAAAAGAACCACAATACCTCGCTGATCTCGTCAAGGAGCATAAACCATCATCACGCAAACTCCGATCATCCTCGCAGCAGATTTTGGCTAACCAAGACGGTCACCGCATCACACGCTTTCAGATGCAGCCGTCTGGAATGCTCTTCTGTCCCATATTAGTAAGCTAATGGACCTATATGCACTTTCAAATCTAGTTCGAAAACTAATTTCCTTAGAACTGCTTTTTTTGTGTTTAGTTTGTTGTCCTTTCCCCGCACCTCTGATGAGCACAGTTGGCTACGTACAGTGCGAAACAAGTTCAACATACATACACAAATAGCACTGGTGGCAAGCGGGCGTTCTCACCACAACCACGTGCTCAGGGGGGGCTCATCCTTGCACTGCAGTCGGTTGGCGGTGGTGAGATGTTAAATCCCTCGCCTGGTGTGCAGGAGGTCGTGGGTTCGTTCTCGACCCTGACACCTGCTGCTGTACATTTAGAGTTTGCGCGTCTCTCTCTCTCTCATCATCATCGTGGTGGCTAGATGTTAACTACCTCGCCTGGTGTGCAGGAGGTCGTGGGTTCGTTCTCGACCCTGACACCTGCTGCTGTACATTTGGAGTTTGCGCGTCTCTCTCTTCCTGTGGTCGCCAAGAGTTTTCTCCGGGTCGTCCGGTTTTTCCCTCCACATTTTCAAAAAACATACATTTAGAGTATTTGGCTGCTATAAATGTCCACATGTTAAGCTACCTTTACACTATGGGGACCTCATTTGCCAGTAAAAATATGATAATTGGTTCTTTACCCTTCTATCTGGCAACAAAACTGACACCTTTTTGCAAGGAGTCATGTTTGCATAGACCGCAATACCTGCAGTCATAAATACAAACAAAAGACATAACTCAGATAATGTGCACTGTCCTTGAAGTCTATGCAAACATGACTCCTTGCAAAAAGGTGTCAGTTTTGTTGCCAGATAGAAGGGTAAAGAACCAATTATCATATTTTTACTGGCAAATGAGGTCCCCATAGTGTAGATGCTTGCCCCGAGCTCTCATACTCTGATGGTGCATTGTCCTTGAGTTGTGCGCCTTTTGGCGTCATCTGGTCCAACCCATATGAGACTAGGCTCGAAGGAAAGCTGTCTCGGGTGTGGACCAATCAACTTCAAGGACAGTGCACATTATCAGAGTTATGTCTTTTGTTTGTATTTATGACTGCAGGTATTGCGGTCTATGCAAACATGACTCCTTGCAAAAAGGTGTCAGTTTTGTTTCCAGATAGAAGGGTAAAGAACCAATTATTAAGCTACCTTGTTGAGCTATAACTTCTGAAAAGGAGCTGGGCCTTGCCAATTAGGGTAATCTGTCTGCCTTTCCCCCCCTCTTCATAGCCCGGTGTGAGAGAGCGTTTAGACCCTGTAGATTCCAGACCTTGGGAGTCAGGACACTGTAAATCATTATTGTTAGAACCGCACCCTCCCCGTGGCCCTTCAACCCACTCGCCACTTTTCTCACAGCTGCAATTAGTTTGGGGCATACAGCTCATTTAGGAGTTGTGCATTAATGCTGACAAAAACCAAACTGAACAAGCTTTGTGAGAAACCATGAGCAGAAACCCTAACCCAACATAGTAAACTCAACCCAAGGGGAGGTGGGAAGGAGGTGCAGGAGGTGAGGACGAGGGGGGGGCTGACAGGGGAGGGGGCTGGAAAGGTGAACATATCTCATGTATCCCAAGGTTCATATAAGATATAGTATTCTGACCCCGAGGCCCAAATTCCATGTTTTTAGAAAGAACACAATATCTCGCCATGTGGGGCTCTCCGGCACGCGAGGCCACCGGGGGTCACGTACGTACTCGACGTTGAACTTCTTTCGCGCCGTGCGCAGCTGACCCCGCTAATCGGACTGTGCGGGGGAAGGACAACAAACTGCCTGAGCGCTCGTTGCCCTCGATAGCCGCCGGCGGCGGCGATGGTGACGTGGTGGGTGCGGGCGCCTACTCTGCACCGTCCCGCAGGCGATGCGGCACTCCTTGTACGTCTCGAAGTTGTTGGCGTTGCCGTTGCAGCCGCCAAAGTCGAACTCCTGGCAGCGCTGCGTGTAGCGGTTGTAGAAGAAGCGCGGGATGAGGGCCCGGCAGGGCCCAATCTCGCTGTCCATCGTGCAGATGGCGCGCGTGGACTGCCCCTCCTCGCTCTCGTCGCCTGCAGGGAGAACGAGGAGGACCCTATAACAAACAACTACTTTGTACGCGCATGTTTACGCTGAACTTCTTTCGAACCATGCGTAACCAACCGTGATAATCGGAGTTAAGGCCCACCGAGCTGAATAGCTCTTTTTCAGACGCGACCTGCCCGCCACAAATGATAGCGTAACGAAGTGGCTTGTCGCGTGGAAGTTTATCGCAGCCGAATACTCTACAAATGCACTTTGATTCTAGACTGCAAACTTCAAAAATACAGCAGCAGGCGTCGGGGTCGGGATCAAACCCACGACCTCCTGTATACCAGGTGAGCTAGCTAACATCTCATAGCCACCACGGCACCACTCTAACCACTGTGGCACCCCGGGGCTTAACTCCTGTCGTAAAAACGACGGCTCATGCACCGTACATGTTTGTCTCATCAATGTCGGGTTCAATCACAATGCCGCAGGCCACAACAACAAGCTCCCCGCCCAGCCACTCAGTCACCCGTGCAGGTCGAGATGCTGCTTCTCTTACTGTGTCTTCCCTGGCAGCGCTCGACTGTGGAATTCCCTCCTTCCACCATCGTCTCTTTTGCCGAGCTTTTGTTTTAAACAATGATTGGCCTTGCTCAATTGAAAAAACACGCTTAACAAGTATTTATTACAATTTTGACAAGTGCTGTTGGTTGCTGGCCGTTTTGACGTTTTGGGCCAATGTTCAGCCTCTGTGTTAAAAAAAGTGCGCTATTCATGCCATTCTTTGAGCTATCGCGAAGGCTCATCCATAAATTACTTCATTGCTCAAGTTCATTGTGGAATGACGCACAAACATGTTTCAACAAAATCGGTAGCAGTGTAACAACATATTTTCTCTCCATGTGTGTCTGAGTTCAACGTACGATCATTTTACTTTTAAGATCATACCAGTGAGAGTCGCCGCATTCTCCGGATTATTGCATGTGTGTGTGTGCGTGTATGTGTGCGTGTGTGTGTGTGCGTGTGTGCGTGTGTGTGTGTGCGTGCGTGTGTGTGTGTGTGCGTGTGTGTGCGTGTGTGTGCGTGTGTGTGTGTGCGTGTGTGTGCGTGTGTGTGCGTGTGCGTGTGTGTGCGTGTGTGTGTGCGTGCGTGTGTGTGCGTGTGTGTGCGTGTGTGTGTGTGCGTGTGTGTGCGTGTGTGTGTGTGTGCGTGTGTGTGCGTGTGTGTGTGCGTGTGTGTGTGTATGTGTGTGTGCAACCCGATTTAAATAACATTATTGACACGGAGCACAAGTTTGGGGTGCATCTTACTCGCTGGAGCATATGATAGTCATTTGAAGGATACAATATGTACGTGCATTATGTTTTGCAAGCCTTGACCAACATTTGGCAAATTGCAACCGCGCATTTTCAATCGAAACATGAGGTGAAACTAATTTTCTATCAGCTTCTCATCTGACAAATGTAATGAATTGTTGCCTCTCCAGACTAAGAGCTTGCGCGCCACGCTTGGAGGGGTTATGTCTACCACTGGATATATATTGTATGCACACCGACATCTTAAATATCGCTGTGCCCCATTTGAAAGCTTGAAATGTAATACTGCTGCTTCATTAACCAAAAACCTCCCGATGGCTTTCACGTAATATCTTTGCGACAACAATAAAAACACCATTACAATATAAATGGTGTAAAACTGCTACATTCATTAATGAATTAGCTGTTATTTGTTTGCACGTAACTATCGCAATATGCAACTGCATGTTGCCTAATATCCAAAAACGCACATGGCTAATGAGGATGCAAACTCACGCTTCATTGACTTCAGGCTGTCACGCGTGTATTAGTATCATTAGAGTTTAAAAAAAACCCCTCGACGTTCATCACGATGGACAGAGGAGCTTCCCAGTTTAACGTCGGCTTTCGCGACCAATATCATCCACAATAGAGTTTTTTTTGGGTTATATCGCGTAGAAATATTTAAATGTTGTGTCGTCAAAAACCAACTGCCACCCGACACAACCAACTAGTAAGGGTTGTCACGTAAACAGAACGTGCCAATTCGTCACACTTATCAGCACACATTTATCTATTTTACGCGATCTAACCCCAAAAAAAACTCCATCACGAGTGAGCTGCTTTCCCACCAACCGGTGCCAAATCTCAGCACCACAGAGCGTGCCTGCCCCTAGTCATCCGGCCGTTCACCGCTCTTAAGGCTGCCCCACACACCGATGTCCCATGGAGAGGGGGAGGGCGCACCGCTCGCCGTGGCCGCAACGCCAAGAGGTCCCAGCGGGACGTGGCGGGCGACGGCTCATTCCCAACACGAGCGGCCACTCGTAGCGTTTGCGTTCATGCGCAGCCTTGTCCGCGTTAATCTTTCCCTCAATCGCAGGTCTTAAGATCGGGGAATTCGCAGGTTAAACTCGTAACTTACGGCTCCTTTATCAATCCACTGCGGGACGAAGGTCTCCCCAATACACGTTTGTCGTGTGGATTCGTTTGACTATGCCGTACCACGGTGTCGTGAGAGCAGCGGGCTTGGTGAAGCTATGGAGGGGGGCCAGGAGCAGTTCACATATCACTCGCTGCCGCCTGTCTTTGCCGTGTGAGGCAATCGAACTCGGGTCACTCGGTTCGTAGTACGGTGCACCAGCCATTGCGTGAACGCTCCCTCCACTGACTTTATACCCTTGACAGAAACCAAGGACACTTCAATGATGTCGACATAACCATCCGCGTCAGCACGCTCGTATCTCATCAAGAGTTGTCATTGTCTTATAATGTACTTGTACTGCCTCTGAGGAGTGGAGGGTTTTTGTTCTTCATTTATTCTTCACGAATGTTTCAGCATTTTTCAGCGATTGAGGCTGGTGATGGAATGGGAGCCAAAGGAGGGAAGAGATGGAGAGAGGAGCACGTGGATTGGGGAACAAATGAAAATGAGAAGCGTCACACGGTCAAATTTTGATTTATTAACTTTTGTGACTGCAGGGATTCATCTTCTTGGTTCTTTCGGTAAAGTCACGTAGAAGGGAAATAATAAAATAATAAAAATAAAACATAATAAAATAATTCTCACGACGTTTCGGCCACAACGCAAGCAGCCGTCCTCAGGTGAAGAACAGGTCTGAATGTTTCATTCATGTTTCATTCAGACGCTGTCTCCCCGACAGACCTGGTCTTCACCTGAGGACGGCTGCTTGCGTTGTGGCCGAAACGTCGTGAGAATTATTTTATTATGTTTTATTTTTATTATTTTATTACTTCCCTTCTACGTGACTTTACCGAAAGAACCAAGAAGACGTCACACGGACAGTGAGAAAACGTAAGTGGGATGCTTGGGCAGGACATATCTCGAGAAGAATGCTTGCGTACGGTGCGAAAGAAGTTCTACATACGCACAATGGTGATGGAATGGCAGCAAAAGAAGGGCCCAGAGAAGTGAGCACGTGTAACACATGTATCCATCAGCGGCCAAACACAAATCAGACTCCCACGCGGACCAAGAATGACACGAGGATGGCATTAGGCAGATCAAGAACGCTGACAACGGCAGCCCAAGGGAGAGATTGTGCCCAGAGAGCGTGGGGGAGGCGTCCAGCCAGCAGTGGTCAGAGACGGGTTGAAAGTGATTGTGATCATTATTAGTATAACAATTCCTGGATGGCAATGAGCATCCAGGACAGTTGCTCCCACTGCGTAGTTGCTGGGTCAAATTGCACGGGATTAATAGGAACTGAAGAACTCATTTATTTACAACGAGTTGCCTTTTGTGTTCAATTTGTGGTACTTTTCCGCGCGCCTGCGACGAGCACGGTTGGCGACGTACGGTGCGAAAGAAGTTCAACGTGCACACGTGTAAGAGCACATCCCACTCGGATTAATGCTCCGGGTAATTCATCGCAGCACGGAAACAAACGCAGTGCACGCACCATGCAGACGTGCACGGCGCGAACACGTGAACTATAAACTATCGAACGGTCTTCTCACAATCGAGAACACGTCCACTCTCCCACTCACCCTCTCACTCACTCACCACCACCACCAACTCCACCACCACCAACACCACAAACCCCTCCGGCAACGGCGTTGTGGTCCAAAACGTGTCGGAGAGAGACAAAGACGGCCGCGGCGGTAGCTGCAACACTCTCGGCATCATCATCACCTCCTGCTGATGCTCTCGCTGCGATCGGGAACAACAACCCCCCAAGCGCCGCCATCATCACCATCATCTTCATCTTATCCTCCAACTCCTCCCGCAGTGCGCGCTGCAGTCGCCGCAACACGAAGATGGCGGCGGCCACGTGGAGGAGGAGGCTTCGTCTCCGCTGTGCTCGCGTCAAGGCCGCGCGCCCTTTAAACATCGTCACGTGGCTCGCTCATTGGCTGGGGGGGGGTGAGGGGGCGTGCTGAGGCTACGGCACAACGGCGGTGTCGAGGTTTTGCCGGCTCGGCGACTGGGAAACGCTCTTGCAATCTGCTCCCTCGTGCCAGCCGTGCCCACCACTGCCAATCGGGGCAACCGCCTCGGGCCCCGTGCTCTGTCTCCACTCGTTTTGTCGTTCTCGTGTTCTGCTCTCTCTGTGTGTGTGTCTCGGCTGTTGTCCCTCTCTGCTTTTGTCTGTTCTTCGTGTTTGTGTCTTGTCTCTCTTTAAAATTTCACACTTCACTTCTAACTAAGCAATCTTTGAAAAACTTAATCGAACAGACTATGCGTTAATTGTGCGTTGACCGACTCTCTGTGTTGCATTACATTTCCAAATTTTGCTAGGTTATTTAATTCAGTGTGTCTCTCTCCCTGTCTTTTGCACCGTACCACTCACCGTGCCACTCATTGACATGCTAATTTCTCTAACCCCTCCCTCTCTCGCCGCCCCCGCCCCCTCTCTCTATTTAAGGCCTCAACACAGAGGCGTGGTGTCTCTGTGTGCCTATGTTTGTCTCTCTCTATGTATCTCTGTGATATCTGTCTACTTCTATGCCTGTCTATATGTCTCTGGTTCTGTGTTTTATCTCTCTCTCAAATTTAGCATTCTCCGGAAGAACGTAATCAACCAGGTAGGGTGTTGACTGTTATGTTATCCGAAGTATACTAGATTTGTGTTTCTATTTCATTTATACCTGATGATGCTTGCTTGTGTTGCAATCGAAACGTCGTATGCTAGTATTTAATTTATTATTTTATCTTTATACGTCACTTTACCGAAAGAACCAAAGAGTAATTCCTGCAGTCACGAAAGCTCCAAATTAAGTTTGACACATATATATATAGTTTGTGCATTCATTGGTGAACGAATTGGTTTGTGCATTCATTACCATCAACTCACTGCGATTGAGAACCCGGTGTCATCACAACTCAGAGCACGTGAGTTTATAGTTCTCTGTGTAAGTCTATGGGTCTCTATGCATTACTATGAGTCTCTTTTAAAATATGGGATTATATATTCATTCATGGGTCTCTGTGCATGAGCCACTCGTGATGGGGCTGAGACCATCAACTTATACTAAACTCTTTGTATTTTACCAGGTAAGGCCCACTGAGCTTTATATCTCTTTTTCAGAAGAGACCTGGCTGCCATAAATGAGAGCTCAAGGTAGTGGCTTGTCACTTGGAAATGTTTAGCAGCAAAACACTTTAAACGCGTGATGTTGATTCTAAACGCGGAGGGAAAACCCTGAGAACCCGGATAAAAATCCAACCTACCACGGGTAGAGAGACGCGCAAACTCCAAATACAAAAGCATCAGGTCGTGATCGAACCCACGACCTCCTGTAGACTAGGCGAGGTAGTTAACATCTCCTAGCCACCGTGTTGCCGCCTATTGAGCAGACGTGACTGCACGGTATTCGCTGGCACTCGATCACACGCAGACAGAGAGAGAGAGAGTGAGGACGACTTAGAGAGGCTCTAGGAGGTAGGAACCACAGACGAGGAGCGGGAAGGCAGCAGCATCAGCAGCAGCATCAGCAGCAGCATCAGCAGCAGCCGCCCCGCTATGGCTGGGAGCCGGCGATACCAACGATTGCGCAAGCGGTGCCTAACAGGCGACACCACCAATAATCAAGCAGCAGCCACCTGCGCCGCTATATCACTGTGGGAGAAAGCGAGCTGCTCAATTCAGTTCCCGAAGAAGCGAAATTCCCGTCGGAGCGAAACGTCGGACATCGTGTGGAACAACACGCGGTGGTCAACCCGGAAGTGCATAGGAGAGATGGAACTCACGAGAACGCACGTTAAGCTTGCTTCTTTTTCCAATGAATTCGTTCATGAATCAATTCAGTTATTTATTATCTATGAATGTATTCATTCAAGGTGTCATTTGGAAGAACCAAAAATCGGGACAATCTGCCCGGACCAATTCTGCGCGAAAGCGCGATACCTCTCATCACGACACCCGAACTCGTTCGCTTCTCAGCAAACAAACTCTGAAAGTAATCATCGTAAAACATATTATAATAAAGCAGCCGGAAACATTATGTTTGATTTGACATCTGCTTTATGTCGTACGAAGTCAATTGCACATTGTGTGCCGGTATCGCCGTGCGTGTGTCCGCCTGCATCTGTTGGGCCATCCCACTTGGCGAACGTCAGTATCTGTTGGCTCACACATTGCCGAGAAATGTCAGTTGCAATAAATAAATCATTTTAGGACGGTCAGAGAAAAAAAAATTATATATAATACAACGGCCGCGCTACATTGTGTACGAACAAACGTGAAATCCTGTTGATCATATCCCCCCCCCCCCCCCCCGTGGATAATAAATCACCGTGCTGCCAAGGATCCGGCTTGCAAATTGGCTTTGCCTTAAGCAACAATTCGAGGCATAAGCAGTGGAAGGATGTAGGAGGGGGTGGTGCTGGTCCATGTGAAGTCCCCCCCCCCCCCCGCATTCAATGTATAAAATATGACCGATATAGATGTTGCGAGATGTTGTCGCACGCGCAGACGCACCTGGGCCATAGCCACGTGGGAATTTCCACCACTGGATTTTACAACTGCTGCTTCGTTTTTTTTGGAGGGGGGTCGATGAAGTCCGCTGAGCTATACGAGTTCTTTTTCAGAAGCAACCTGGCCACACGTGATAATAGCTCGTCGAATTGGCTTACATCATCATCATCACGTGTGGGAATATATAGGAGCAGCCAAATGATCTAAACGCGTGTTTTTTATTGTGGAAAGAGGTGAGGGGGGGGGGACCTCGAAGAAACCCACAGAAAAATCTACTCGACCAACGCTGGGAGAGAGAGATCACGCGAACTCTAAATATACAACAAAAGGCATCGTCAGGGGTGGGGATTGAACCCACGGATTGCTGCATACCGGGCGAGGGAGATCACATCTCCGCGCCAAGGCGGCGCCCCCATTCCGTAACCAGGAGGTGACCACCGCCTGTCTCCGCGACTTTGGAGTGAGAAGCCTCTCTTACGGCGACTGACAAACAGTGGGGCCACCACGAGGCGCGGCCCGTGGTGCCATTCGTTATTTATTGGTTAGCACCTCGTAGGGACCCACACCTCGGCGGGGTCAAGACTCGTAGGTCACGCTGTCACGCCGTTGGTTTGGTGGCACGTGTCACTACACACCAGCACTTACGGTGGCCACGGCTGAAGAAAGTAAATAAATAAAATGTGTTATCAATTGTATATCACCCGTCGTGCAAGCGGCGTCGTGTCGCCACGTAACGACGAATCCGTTTCGGAACTCGGGCAGGAGCAGTGCTGCCCTTCGTTGGCAGAGAACGACCCACCGAGGTGGATGTCACAGAGCTACCTCTGACATCTCTTCAAGTGACCTCTTGTGCACCCTTTAGGGGACAGCACTTTAATAAGCATGCATATCGTATTTAAGTAATGTTCAATGCATGACGGTTCAACTGATTTTTAACGTTCTCGGCGTTAGGATTTACAGAACAAAATGTCACGTGACATTTGTGTGCGTGCGGTCAAGGGTTACCGAGGGTAGGTGAGGGAGTAGGTGAGTGAGTGGGTGGGTGAGTGGGTGGGTGAGTGGGTCGGTGAGTGAGTAGGTGAGTGGGTGGGTGAGTGGGTGGGTGGGTGAGTGGGTGGGTGGGTAGGTGAGTGAGTGGGTGGGTGGATGAGTGGGTGAGTAGGTGGGTAGGTGAGTGAGTGGGTCGGTGAGTGAGTAGGTGAGTGAGTGGGTGGGTGATTGAGTGGGTGGGTGAGTGAGTGAGTGGGTTAGTGAGTGAGTGGGTGGGTGAGTGAGTGAGTAGGTGGTTAAGTGAGTGGGTGAGTGAGTTGGTAAGTGATCAAGCGGGTGGGTGAGTGAGGGAGCATCTCACAGTTTGCTTTCAACTCTGTAGGTGACGTCCAGAAAAGTTGAGTTGGCCGTGGTGGTGGTGGTGGGTGGGTGGATGATGGTGGTGGTGGGTGGGTGGGTGGTGGTGGTGGTGGTGGTGGAGTCAATGATTGAAGGGTCAACAATTGGGGGTCGATCCCCTTTGGGGTCAACTTCACCGGGGTCCCAGCAGAGGTCTGCCAGGAGGTCTCGAGACTCCAAACGAACATTCAGTGGGGAAGGCGCTATCCACTGCACCACCACTCCCCACACACACACACACACAGTGCGCTAACCACTGCACCACCACTCACACACACACAGTGCCCTAACCACTGCACCACCACTCCCCACTCACACAGTGCGCTAACCACTGCACCACCACTCCCCACTCACACACACAGTGCGCTAACCACTGCACCACCACTCCCCACTCACACACACACAGTGCGCTATCCACTGCACCACCACTCCCCACACACACACACACAGTGCGCTAACCACTGCACCACCACTCCCCACTCACACACAGTGCCCTAACCACTGCACCACCACTCCCCACTCACACACAGTGCGCTAACCACTGCACCACCACTCCCCACTCACACACACAGTGCGCTAACCACTGCACCACCACTCCCCACTCACACACACACAGTGCGCTATCCACTGCACCACCACTCCCCACACACACACACACAGTGCGCTAACCACTGCACCACCACTCCCCACTCACACACAGTGCCCTAACCACTGCACCACCACTCCCCACTCACCACAGTGCGCTAACCACTGCACCACCACTCCCCACTCACACAGTGCGCTAACCACTGCACCACCACTCCCCACTCACACACAGTGCGCTAACCACTGCACCACCACTCCCCACTCACACACAGCGCGCTAACCACTGCACCACCACTCCCCACTCACACACAGTGCGCTAACCACTGCACCACCACTCCCCACTCACACACACAGTGCGCTAACCACT